TGTTCTATGACATAGAACAGGGCCTTGGGTCGGGGAGGTCCCTTGCTACTATTCTGGATAAGAAGAATCTCAACAATTAAAACTAGGAATATTTTACTTCCACAGCTTTTGATAGGTCTACTCCAAGTAGGACTTAGCTACAACCTAGTACTATGTTTATTTTACCCTTAGACCAGAGCTTTCCAAACTGTGTGTTGCGACACGTTATTGTGCCGGCTGCAGTGTGTAGATCTGTCATGCGAACGCTCCCCACACTCCTCCCGGTGTTGGAAAGGGGTTAGTTTAACCTCCGGTTTGCTAGTAAAACTGAATTACTGTGTTGCGAAATGATGCATGTCTAAAAAATGTGTCACCAACATGAAAAGTTTGGAAAGCTCTGCCTTTGACCCTAAAACTTGCCTCTAGGTTAGCTTATGTGTTAGATACAGATGTGGAAATACTAGTCAGTTTACTAACAGCTTCAATGTACCATCTGGAATGATTACCATTATCCATCCAGTGGCGGACATACATTTTTGGGACCCTAAAGCTTGAACTCTTATGCGGGCCCCTTCAGAACAAGCAACATGGTCTGGGTAATCACTGTTATATTCATCAATGGGGTTGTTCCATGACGTATCACCAAACCTTTACAACACCTGTGCTACTGACTCTCAAACTTTGGAATTGTAGAAATATATACAACAACTAAAAAATCACTTTGAGTTGTATGATTCATATTGGGTCTACTACACCCCAAAAATTTTAAGCAATGTGGACTAAAGTTGCTTCTGGGGCCCCTCCAGGATTAGGGGCCCTGAACGTGAACTTCATTAGTTTCATAAGATCTGCCTCTGTATCCATCATGTTTTGGAATGAAAGCAGAAAACAAATGAAGGACATTTTCTCTCGATATCCAGAACATGGGAAGCCCCCTTCTGAATTTTTTTTTTAATTTGGAATGTTTAATTGGCTGTATTGTTTGTATTAGGATTTGGTATGATTGGAATCGATTTGTCATTAATTGAAAGGTTTTTAATTGAAAAAGAATAAAAATTACTTTTTAAAAAAAGAGAAAGCTATAATGACAATATGCAGCTATATAGTACATTTGCATTATTGTAATTTTTTTGGAAACTTTGTTGTTCATTATGTTGCACAAGCTATCATGCAATTGGTTTTGTACTGAACTTTTACTTAACAAAAGTAATATAAACTTTTCTCCCTAGCCCCTAAAAATATGGGTTTGCAATTTGTGGTTTATCTGCAGAGAGCATAATCACAAACCTGGGTTTGGACGTCATGCTAGGTCAAACCACGCAGCAGCATGCAAAAAAGACTGGGGGAGGGGAGCAAAACTGCTGCAAGCTCTTTTCTGAGACCTCACATGCTCATGCAATCCTCCTAAGCCATAGTTTGGCTTTGCATGAGAGGCAAGCCAGGCCACTGTATTTATCTAGGAAGAAATAATTAAATCATACAACTGTAAGCCCTCCAGATCTGGCTGGGTCCAAATATGAATGCAGAAAATAAAAAAATGCTAGAAAAACATTGAATTTTTCTGGCATTTAGTGCATTATATTTAACCCTGAAGCATTGCCTATGCATAACTTTTAAAAAGCACCGTTCTTATTTTGGTCGAGTTGGTACATTTGCTATTTGCATTTTATTGACCTATTTTCTTAAAGCTGAAATAGTGAGCTCTTGTACTGAATTGTATATTGATAGAGTTAATGTATGAGTAAATCAGCTGCAAATAGCCATTGAGTTAGTCGTAAATGGTTCACTTGATTCACCATTGAATCCGGTATTTTAAGCCTTTTGCAAATTCTTAGCACTGGTTTTTAAAAATAAAATAGTTGTGTTGCTTTAATAGAAAATATTCATGTTCCTGCAAAGTTACTTCCACTGACAAAACTGATAACACAACCTTTTCATATTACAGGTATTTTTTGAAGTCGTAACTTCAGGGCACCAAGGATATCTAGCCATTGATGATGTGAAGGTTTTAGGACATCCATGCAGTAAGTGACTGAGCATTATAATTTGAAATTATTATGAGATACTGTTGAAAGGTATGCATCACTGCTGTTCCCAAAGTGTGCTCCTTGATAAAGGTCCTTTCCAGCTCTGGGGAAGCTCAGAAATCTTGAGACTGAAGCCCTGATCGGCCATTGGAAGAAGCCATTATTTGCTGTGTGTGACAGTTGCCCCACACTCTCTAAAGCAGGAATCCCCAAACTCAGCCCTCCAGCTGTTTTTTGGGACTACAACTCCCATCATCCCTAGCTAACAGGACCAGTGGTCAGGGATGATGGGAACTGTAGTCCCAAAACAGCTGGAGGGCCGAGTTGGGCGATGCCTGCTCTAGAGACTCGAAGCAGTTATTGAGTATAAAAAAGAAAAATTAAATACAGCCCTCAGAACGTTTCATAAAATTTGGAGGAGTGTAGATTTCATAGTGGGACCACATTCTGATCACCAGCTCAGTTTGGCAGCTGTAAATCAGGAGGAGGAGGAGGCGGGGGAGAAGAAGAAGAGGAGGAGGAGTTTGGATTTGATATCCCGCTTTATCACTACCCGAAGGAGTCTCAAAGTGGCTAACATTCTCCTTTCCCTTCCTCCCCCACAACAAATATTCTGTGAGGTGAGTGGGGCTGAGAGACTTCAAAGAAGTGTGACTAGCCCAAGGTCACCCAGCAGCTTGCATGTGGAGGAGCGGAGACGCGAACCCGGTTCACCAGATTACGAGTCTACCGCTCTTAACCACTACACCACAGGAGAGCTCATTCTTGAATGTGGATCCCCAAATTCTTCAATGGTCTGTAGCTGGAGCAGCACCCTGTCCTTGCTACACAGGAAGCGTGCAATGTATAGCCTTGTGTGTCAGTTGCAATCCCATTGTAAAACATTTGTATGAAATTACCGGCATTAGAGGGACGCGGGTGGCGCTGTGGGTTAAAGCCTCAGCGCCTAGGACTTGCCGATCGAAAGGTCGGCGGTTCAAATCCCCGCGGCGGGGTGCGCTCCTGTCGCTCGGTCCCAGCGCCTGCCAACCTAGCAGTTCGAAAGCACCCCCGGGTGCAAGTAGATAAATAGGGACCGCTTACTAGCGGGAAGGTAAACGGCGTTCCGTGTGCTGTGCTGGCTCGCCAGATGCAGCTTGTCACGCTGGCCACGTGACCTGGAAGTGTCTCCGGACAGCGCTGGCCCCCGGCCTATAGAGTGAGATGGGCGCACAACCCTAGAGTCTGTCAAGACTGGCCCGTATGGGCAGGGGTACCTTTACCTTTTACCTTACCGGTATTAGCTACCTGATACAGTTTTCCTAATTAAAATTAAAACAGGTCTTTTTTCTTTTATCACAGCATGGTTGATGCTAATCTTTAGCATATCCTTTTCTTTGGTGCTTTTACTCTTGTTGCCATTGTTTCAAGATTTGTAGCATTTTAATATGCTACTGAATGACATTTTGTGGAACGACTGGATTGTATCAAACTCTGCCGTTCCACTTGTGCAACAGGCTTCTGCTGGTACAATGGAAGTTCTGCTTCTCCCCCCTTTCACATCCTCAACATTTGCTCTCTAGGGTTGTGAGATGTGGAAGTGGGGTGGAAGGAGGAAGGGGAAGTTGCGTTGCATAAGTGGAACCACACTTACGCCAGTGTTAGGTGCAGCCCACTGCCATTTAATTACATGCAAAGCAAAAATACAAGTAAAAGTAAATGGAAAAGTTAGTTACTGATAGATTATCACACGTGATTGTGACCATGCACATAGGTGTTAGGCAAACGGTTGATGTCCACAGTCTAATGTAGAGCTAAATGAATTTAAGCCAATGTACACCCTTAGTCTTTGGTAGATTGTGCCATGTATAACAGAAGCTAGAGCTATGAGGAAGTCCAGAACAAGTTTGGACCTGGTGTGCCTTTATGCAACCTTAATTTCTGATGATAATAATAATAATAAATTTTATTTATATCCCGCCCTCCCCAGCCTTAGCCGGGCTCAGGGCGGCTAACAACAATAAAACAGTACAAAAGTACAGCATAAACAACACTCTAAAATCATTCATTCTAAAATTAATTAATTCAAGCCACTGGCAGCCATTGGGCCAGAGCTCCGTGAAGATTGCCGAAGGAGGGAGTCAGGCTGTGCCCTTGCCAAAGGCCTGGTGGAACAGCTCTGTCTTGCAGGCCCTGCGGAAAGATGTCAAGTCCCGCAGGGCCCTGGTCTCTTGTGACAGAGTGTTCCACCAGATCGGAGCCACAGCCGAAAAAGCCCTGGCTCTCGTTGAGGCCAGCCTAACTTCTCTGTGGCCTGGGACCTTCAAGATGTTTTTATTTGAAGACCGTAAGTTTCTCTGTGGGGCATACCAGGAGAGGCGGTCCCGTAGGTACATCAGCTTTACATCAGCTTCTTGCATATAGGATTGCTCCCTAAAACAGTATATCATGCAATTGCTCTAAAACACATTTCCTATATACCTATAAAACACCTGGCTTAAAAATAGTTTTCTTGACAACTTTGTACAGTTCTTGTCTAGTAGCTAGTATAAATATCTGCTGTGGTTTTGTTCAAAATATCAATTAAATTTCAGTCTAACCTTTATAAACATCGAAACGTTTTATCAAAGGCTTAGTAACCTAATATAATTTCCTCAGTAGGAACAATAAGCTAGCACCTTTATATTTTGTCATATCCTGGATTCTTGTAAGAAAGTAGTATTAGAAATGTAAAACAGCCTTATTATATTAGGCACAATTAGAGTCAGATATTTTAGTACACATTTTGGGACTCTTAAGGAAATATTTAAAATGGCTGTCAAACAGATGAATTAATTAGAAAAATACAATGCTAATAGCATGTTTCCCTCCTCTCTTTATTCTCAACAGCCAGCACACCCCATTTCCTGCGTGTCCAGAGTGTAGAAGTCAATGCTGGCCAGTTTGCTACTTTCCAATGCACTGCCAATGGCAAGACCATTCCAGGAAATAGGCTTTGGCTACAGGTGAGCATTTCCCTCTTTTGTTTTCTGCAGTACAATGGCATGTGTAACATACATCATATTTAAGATACGTTCAAAACAACACGTTTAAAATACACTGATGCTGGCATCGAAAGAAAGACCATATACACTTGGGAGAAAGCTTCATGGGTAGTGAGAACGGCTGCAGTGTTAAGAAGTGAAACCTAAGCTCCAAATGTGGTTCTCTTGCTCATGTGCATGCCTATGAATAAAAAGAACAGAAAAAACTATTATTGTTAATAACGAACCTTGAATGTTCGCTTGCAGCATTGCTAATTGATCTTTTCAACATGTTATGTTTGGGGCTGCCTTTGAAAAGTGTTTGGAAGTTTCAGCTGGTCTGGAATGCTGACTGGGACCGGCCACAGGGATCATGTTCCTCCATTGATCCAGCAACTGCACTGGTTACCAGTCCCTTTCCAGGCACAATTCAAGGTGCGGACAGTGACCTATAAAGCCCTATATGGCTTGAGCCCAGGCTGCTTGCAACGTAATATCTTCCTATATGATCATGCCCAGGTACAATGATCCTCAGGTGAGCACCTTCCCTCTGCCCCATCAATATCAGAAACACAGTTGAGGGTGTCCACAGAGAGAGCCTTTTCTGCGTCAGGCAGGCCTTTGGAAACAAAGGTGCAGGCGATGCAGAGCACGGGGTGCTGTAAATGAAAACAGTAATTTAATTGCTAGTTCTAAATGTGTTTTGGTGTATTTCAACTATTATTTTTAACCATATCGTTTTTATTACTTTGGGGCTTACTGTGTGAGTAAGAGATGTGAGCAGCAAACACTCCCACCCAATGCCCTTACCAGGTTGCAGACACATTGCTCATCTGGAGGTTGGAGAATACTGATGGTGTTGAGCTTAGATGGCCACAGATCAGTGCTGTCATTTGTCTCATTTGTCGCAGTGCAAATGCATGGTGGGCTTGGATGGTGCAGCCCCATTGTATTGTGGTGTGTGTGTGTGTGTGTGTGTGACTGAGGAACAAAAAGTGGAAGTACAAGGCTAGAAGGAAGCTGTAAAGAGAATATCACATTGTAATGTATACTCTTGTCCATTGGTATTAATACTATATTGTACTCCCCTTCCCCAAATTACTGGATAAGTCAGTATGTCAGTGAAATGCTTAAAAAGCAATGTGGAAATTCACTGTTAGTGGAGGAAAGTTCTCCTAGCAAATTACCTTTCCTCACTTTGTTGTGAAACATACGTTGTTTTTGGCGTTTGGAATAATTTGTCCCTTCCTCTTTTCACTTGCATTTGGAAAAATGCACCTGTTCCTTAAGGATGTAATGCCGTTCATCCACAATAAAGCATAGCAATGGTGCTACGTATTTATTCCCTGACCCTCTAAAGAATAGATGGGGAACCTGTGGTATCTGTGCCTGTACAAATCCCATCATCCCTGACCATCAGCCATGGAAACCAACAACATGTGGAGGACCACAGGTTTGCCATCTCTCCTACTCCTTCTTCAGATTTTAAAGTAATTTCCCATGATAGAGGTCTGCCATAATGGATAATAATCTGACTTTGTCTCCATCCAGAAACATAACATTAACTCATACGGAAATGCCTAAAGAGGAGACCAGCTTATTTAATTTTAGAAATTCATAGTGCTTAGATCACCCAGTGGTTGGGAAAGGAAGGGGGGGGACCCAAACCAAGAATAGCTACATGGTAAGTCATCCTAGGTAATGACTTTAATCTGCTCCTGTACCTTTTCAGATGAACAATGAATCATGAGATTTGATTATAGCACATCAGGTAATGTGAAGACAAATTGTCACTAACTGCATCCATTTAACCTTAGGTTAAAGTCAAATGAAGGAAATCATGAGCATAATGCAGCTGAATGCAATATCTGTTCTTTTTCTCTTATTGTCACCATCGTTTAAGTTTAAAAGGTCATTGGCTAGATAGTATGCACCAGGAATGAAACATTCTCATTAGCAGAAGCTTCAGTGTAGGTATAATACAAAAATAAATTCAGTGATACCCCAGAAGTGATGTTTACAATTAACAGATGCTGCCCATCTGTTTTTGTTTATTGCATTTGTGGGCAGCATAGGTTGTATCCATTTAAATTGGAAAACTAAACAAATATGATTCTAATGCAGGCTGCCTTAGAATTTATATATCCTTTAATATAGTTCACACACATTAATGAGAGAGAGAGCATTTAGCAAATCACCCAAGTACAATCACCATCTTTTTTAAAATGTAAGAACTGCCACTACAGTGGCATCTAACAAAACCATCACATTATGCAAGGATTTCTGCCTGCTCTCTGTGCAAACTATTCCAAAATGTTGGGAGAAAACCCAGAAATGATTTGTGCAGGAAGAGAAAGTCCCGTTGTTCAGGCAGAAGACTTTGCACTAGTAGGAGTTTTTCACTGGATACAACATTCTGGGCTTTACTGGATGTTTCATGGGGAACCTTATAATAGAGTGCTGAAACAATTCAGTTGTACTGCCCCCAAAGATGTAGACCCATAACACTTTCCCTCTCATATTTATTTTTCTGCTGGTTTTCATTCCCCGTACACTGTGTTTGCCGATTTCCAGTGCTTCATATATGCTAGAGTTCAGTTATGATAGTATTATGGATCATGTGAAATGATACTAAAGAAGATTGCCTCAGAGAATGTGTCAAATTATTTATGCTGTATGACCATAGACTGCTCAGTCCTAAGATTGAGGAGCATAACTGGGCAAAAGCTTCAACTTCAGCATTTATTCTTTCTCCCTTGGTTTCTTATTTATTTATTTAGAATTTAGAAAATGGTCAGTCCGGTTTTATAGTAATCCCTCGTGTTATCTCGGGATTTGGTTCCAAGGGTTACGTGTTTATGCAAAAATTGTGCATAGTCAAACGCTTGGAGCTGTCCCATAGGTGGTGAGTGAGGGAGAGACAGAGAGCATCGCCAGCACTCCCAGAGTTGGTGTGTGTTGAGGAGCCTTGTCCATAAAGTCAGGCTGGGAGTTTAAAAGCTCTTTTTGCCTTTTGTCCACTTAAGTTAAGTGGTGCAGAGAGAATTTTTAAGCTCTGGGCCTTGCTTCCTAGACAAGGCCAGTTTACCATACCACCTCTGGAAAGCAAGGGATGTTTGTGTGAGATCTCATGAGAGCACCCTAAAGCCTCCCAGAACCGCCGCAATGAGCAGAGTATTGCCCAGCAAGGAAGGTGGAGAGCTTCAAAGCTCTTTTCAAATTGGTTAACCCCAAGTGTACCCAGCACAAAAAGAGTTTCTAAGCTCTCTGCCTTGCTTACAACTTGACCCTCACAATTTAAGCCAGCCCACCTTCAACTGCCTATGGTTGAAATCATGAAAGTCAAATGCATGTAAGATGAGGGAAATTCAAAAACAAACAAACCTGACTTTGTTCCTTTTTCAGTGGGCTGTGAGGCCTGGAAGACCACCTCCCTGCCTCGCAGGCCTTTTCCTACCTGGCATGGGAGGGTGGGGCCATTACTGACTCCAGCTACAAAAGCCGAGGCTGCTGTATACAGAATTTTGGACTGGGGTATTGTTCAGAGGTTTTTGTTGGGAAGGGATTGCTGTTACTCTTGTTGCTGCTATGTGTGTGTGTGTGTGTGTGTGTGTGTGATTTTTAAAATATGTTGTAAGTCACCTTGAGCATGGTTTGAACTTTGAAAGCCCAGCATACAAATAAAATGGATGATTGATTGAAGTCAGGCATAGGCAAACTTGGCCCTCCAGATGTTTTGGGACCACAGCTCCCATCATCCCTAGCTAACAGGACCAGTGGTCAGGGATGATGGGAATTGTAGTCTCAAAACATCTGGAGGGCCGAGTTTGCCTATGCCTGATTTAAGTGATTGAAGATCCTCTGGGCATCTTAAGATACAGCAGATCTCGGTCTGAACTGGGAGATTCCCAGCTCACCCAGACTCAGTCAATGTTTAGTCCCCAACTCTGGCACAGCCAACATGCTCATCATGGCTCAACTGAGGCTCACTTAGCTGAGCAGAAACTGACTGAGCCAAGTCCAGCATAAGTACTTCAAAATGGAGCATTCCAGGAGTGGAACCAGAGAGGGGGGAGACTTTGGCTAGATACTGAGTCAATTCAGCTCAGTCATGTGACCTGGCAACCAAGCATCAACACTATTTAAAAGGCTTGTTTTCCCTATGCCAGGCTTAGGCAGAGTATGATCAGCAATTGCTGAATGGGTTTTGGATCGGGAGTAACTTTATGCTGGTTTACTTACACAGCCTTCCTTTACCACTAGCATTTTGTGTATAGGATTGCTTTCTTAGCCAAGCAATCCTTGTACAAGGAGGACAAGGATTCATTAGATCTGATAATGAAGGGAACAATTAATTTGTACTGTGTGCGCTTTTACTTCATGGATTTACATACTAAAGAGTTCAACACTCCAATATTGCTAGGTAGGTGAATTATTATTATTATTATTATTATTATTATTATTACAATACTATTTAAAGTTAGTGTTGCCACTTTTACTACGTCTGCTGATAAAAGTTACTGAACCATCTTTCCATGGCTTGTCAGCCTGTCTGAGCTTTTCTTTCTTGCTACTACTTTGAAACTGTCTAGTGGCTATGTGGCTTTACTATTTATTTCATATTGCAGCCTCCACTTGCTTTAATACACTGCTGTTTATTTAGTGTACGTGACCATGAGAAGTGAAAAGGCTCCACTTAGTAAAGAAATGAAGAGCAAAATCAGTTATAAAAGAATGTGACGATTAGTGAACACCATTAATCTGGCATCATATTCATGCTTAAAAATTTACACAGAAAAAAGAAGGCTGTCAAAAACACAAAAGTGTTTTGTTACTGCAGAGGTTGCATAACATAAAGCAAGATTGATGATTAAAAGAACTGCATGGACTCCATATCTGAAGGAAGTGAATAAGAAATAAGTGTTTTAATAGTTTTGCATTTTCATGCATTTCACATTCATAATAAAAACTCTATGGCAATTTCCCCAAGTATTTAAAGGGTTTATATCATTATAGCACATTTTACTTCTGTGTTTTAATCTTGCACTGAAGTAATTCATTTATCTTGCATTATATTAACATGTAAATGAGATATCCAGACCAATAGCAAACTTCGTCTACCATGTGGACAACTGTGAATGTTATTTGGAGAATTGGACTTCCTAGCTTTAAGTTTCTATCAATGTGTAAATCCTGAATGTA